AAAATAATGTTTAATAGTATCAATAGCCATGTTCCTCCCCTCTACCAGCTTTAGCAGCTCAACTCGGACAGAAACCCCTCCCACATTGCAAGGAGGGAGATAATTAAAGTTAAATAGATGCAGAATATCCAAGTACAGACCCCAGTGTTGGAGAAATGCCCCATACTCTCTCCTCCTGCGTCTAGACCTTTAGATTGTGCCTTCAGAACTGTGTTAGGACAAAGAAGGAAGACACTGACACTACCTCCCTCCCTCAATCTCATGAACAGCAGCAAGTATTTGGACACAACCTCTTGGGAAGCAGGGCATGGGGCTAGGTCAGAGTTTTCTCTTAGAATCCCATGTCATGCATGCCATGGCTGGAGCTATAAAAACCCATAGGAGCTGTGTGATTCCAGGACAAAAACTCCCATTAAAATCTTTCAGGAGATGTCAGAAGTTCCCTCGGGTAGGACCAAAGGCCATCCACATCAGTTTCCACCAGGATGTCCTACCTGGCTCAGACCAAGTCTTGGTGGAAAGTGAATCATCTCCACTTTTATCCCCTAACCTCAGGGACCACTTCCCACAGAAGGACAGTGCTCAAGATGGAACCAGACAGAACCCTGTGCAGCTCTAGGTCACGATTGTGGGTTGGCCTACAGCACCACAAGCTGGGGTGTGGGCCTCAGTGGACCCTCGTGACAGTTTGGGCTCACTCACTAGGAGACTGAACCTGGATGCAGGGTGGTGTCCACCAAGATGGCCCAGTGGCTTCCTCTACAAATCCTACTGAACTGCTGTGACATAGCATGGCTCTCCAACCCACTTCTTTTTATTTCTTTGTGCCAATTTTGGGACTTGAACTCAGGGCTTGGGCACTGTCCCTAAGGACCTTTCACTCAAGGTTAGCACTCTACCCCTTGGGCCACAGTTCCACTTCTGGATTTTTCTGTATATGTGCTCCTGGGGAATTGAAACAAGGGCTTTGTGCATGCTAGGCAAACACTCTACCACTGAGCCATATTCCCAACCCTCCATCCCACTTCTTGTTAGCTGGACTGTAAGATGGCAATTTTGTTCCAAAACTTAATGTGTGCTGCTTGATAGCACTGGAAGGTTGCTTCGACACCCCATCCAGGACAACCTCTGGGGGAGTTCTGGAATCACCTCAGTACTTTAGAAAGACATCTGCCATCAGATAATCAGACTTCTATTTCAGCTATCACTGACTGTGGCTGGCTGGGGCAGTCTTTGGCCTTGAGCACACCTCCACCACATACAGGAGGCAGGCCTTGGTCCTCAACCATCACTGCAATGGACTGAGGATGTCCTACTGAGGCAAGGTTGACCAGGGAAAATGAGACATGCTTAATGCATGCCAGGAATTCAAAAACTCAAGCATAAAGCCTGCCCATCTACTTCCCTTAAGATTAGTGAAAACAGTTATTTGGGGGTAAAGTGAAACAGGGCAGACTAAGGGAAAATTCGGTATGGTAAGTTTACAGCAAATTCAGAAATATTCATTCATCTACCTCTCTTAATATTAAGAGACCATTAAATTCAACAACAAATCCTCAAAGAAACATCTGCCCAATAAATAAGTGGGCTAAAGACTTAAAGAGAAACTTCTCTGAAGAGGAAATAAGAATGGCCAATAAACATATGAAGAAATGTTCAACCACTCTAGCCATAAAAGAAATGCAAATCAAAACAACATTGAGATACCACTTCACCCCAGTTAGAATGGCTATAATCAAGAACTCTAATAACAACAGATGCTGGAGGGGATAGGGACAGAAGAGAACCCCACTGCATTGTTGGTGGGAGTGTAAACTTGTTCAACCACTTTGGAAAGCAGTATGGAGGTTCCTCAAAAGACTCCTGATTGGGGCTGGGAAGGTGGCTCAGTGGTAGAGCGCTTGCCTTGCATGCCTGAGGCCCTGGGTTTGATTCCTCAGAACCACATAAGCAAAAAGAAAAAAAGCCAGAAGTGGCGCTGTGGCTCAAGTGGTAGAGCACTAGCCTTGAGCTGAAGAGCTGAGGGACAGCGCCCAGGCCCAGAGTTAAGGCCCCATGACCGGGCCCAAAAAATAAAAATAAAAGAGACTTCTGATAGAGCTCCCTTACTACCTAGCAATCCCACTTTGGGGCATTTACCCAAAGGATCACAAATAAGGCCATATTAAGGCTACCAGCACAACTATGTTTATCACAGCATTATTTACCTCACTAAATGAATGGATCAAGAAAATGTGGTGTATATATACAATGGAATTCTGTGTTCCATCAGAAAGAACGACATTGAACCATTTTTTAGGAAATAGAAAGACTTGGAAAATTATATCAAGTAAGTCAGGCCCAAAGAAACACAGGTCCCATGGTTTCCCTTATTTGCAATAGCTAGTACATGTGTAGGACAAGCAGAAAAGGTCAAAAGCTATGTACATAATACCATATAAGATGAGGGTAAGCAAAATGAACCCCAAGATAGGGACACAAATATCTTTTTTTGTTTCTTGCTATTGTTTGTAAAGCATTTATAATGTACCATCTGATTATTTTCTTTCATTGTATGTTCCTCCCCCACAGTATAACCCCTGTTTTTACTGTATTTGATTCCAGTGCTCTGCATCTTGTATATACACTTCTCTAATTCAGGGAGGGGAAAGAAAAAACAAAATGCTTAAACAAGGATAGAGATTGACCCATTGTAACAATGAGATGTACAAAACACTATGTTGAAAAAGAGCTTTACACCTTCAGGGGATGGGGGTGTAGAGGTGGAAGGGAAGGGACGTTAGGGGAAAACAAAGGAGGAGGCAACAATGCTGAATAGGAAATGTACTCACTACCTTGCTCATGTAACTGTAACACCTCTATTCAGCATTTTTACAATGAAAAACATAAAAAACCATAAATTTTTAAAAAGGCCTAAATTACCAAAGTCATTTAGGGGGAAATGAAACAAGATATATTGAGGAAAATAAGATGGTGAAAGAAATTCAGAAGCATGATGTATAGAAACACAGCACCACATAGTTGTGCTGGTAGCTTTAGTATGATCTGGTCTGTGATCATTCGGGTAAATGCCCAAAAGTGGGATTGCTGGGTCATAGTGGAGGTCCATGTGGAGACTTTTGAAGAACCTCCATACTTCTTTCCAAAGTGGTTGAACAAGTTTACACTCCCACCAACAATGCAGGAGGGTTCCCTTCTGTCCACATCCCTTCCAGCATTGTATTAGAGTTCTTGATTATAGCCATTCTAAATAAGGTGGGGTGGTGTCTCAGTGCTGCTTTGATTTGCATTTCTTTTATGGCTAGGGAGGTTGAGCATTTCTTCATGTATCTATTGGCATTCTTATTTCCTCTTCAGAAAAGTTGCTCTGTAAGCCTTTAGCCCACTTATTTATTGGGCAGTTGTTTCTTTGAGGATTTTTTGTGGGGGGATTTATTTTTTTTGAGTTCCAAGTATATTTTAGGCAGGCTTCAGTGTTGCTGAATTTATAGTGACTTCCACAATGTCACCACTAGTGGGAGAAAAGGCCTGAGGTGAGGTGGTAAACCACTTCAGTAACAGAGAAAACCAAAGGCAAGTTGGGTGACAAATAATTATGTTTTGTAGTCACTTTGGGCAGGAATGTCTGTGAGACTCTTATGTGCAATCAACTACACAAAAACTGGTAGCAAATCTGTAGGTCAAGTGGTAGAGTGCCAGCCATGAGAGAAAAAAATTTTAAGGGATAGTCCTCAGGACTTGAGTTCAAGCCTGAATACCAGAGCATGTATGAACATGCACGCATGTGCACGCACATACACACACACACACACACACACACACACACACACACACAGCTTAGAGAATGGATAGAGCAGAACATAACTCTGACATCTCCCATCTCCCATGGGAGTACATTTCTAGTGCTGGGTTTACACATGAGCCCCATCTGTCTCACTTACTTCCTCACCACATTCAGTTGGCTTCAATATCCCTCACAAATCTCTCATGGAATAAAGTACTCCTCTTCTGAACAAAGCCCATACAAGGTGTTTCCACCCAACTTCTCTGAGAAGATTCATCCGAGACTCCCTAGTTTACAGAGCATTCTGTACAGCTGAAAGTAGTGAGCTCATCTGAGTCAAATGCATGAATCAAAGTGTGTACAATACACTTGGAAAAAAACTCAAATCCAGTTTCAAATGCATGAATCAAAGTGTGTACAATACATTTGGAAAAAAAACTCAAATCCAGTTTAGGAAATTATGAGCATCAGGAACATAGATAAGCCTGGAAAGATGTCAGAGAACAAGGAATAGAACCAGAGCTTCTGAGAATGACAGAGGAGACAGGCCAAGATAAGGACTGCAGGGCAGAGGCTCACTTACATTAGTTAAGGGGAAAAAAATAAAATGTGTCATGCATATCTTATTCCTGATCTGACCAGCAGCTCCTCATTCCCAGAGCTTTGCTGACATGAAATAACCCCAGAAGCAGAAACTGCATGTCTATCCTAAGAAATGTTGCCTTGAAGTATAAGTAAAAGTATAAGGACAAAATTGATTGAAGATTCCCTGGCCATTGACCTATGGACAGGGACACTGAACTTTAGTGTGTTTTTCTAGTATGAACTCTTGGTCAATTCATTGACCCTGACCCAGGACAGGTCAGGCTGAAGGAGTCACCTTGATGGTGGGGGGGTCGGGATAGCCCTGGAAAAGGGGAAACCTCTGCACCCTTTGGAAAGCAGAAAAATATTCATCAGGAAAACCTGAAATAAAGTAGAGCTGTTCTGGTGAAGGCAGTGTTGAAGATACAGAGAACATTAAGGGATGCATTCAACCTTCCCCCGCCCCCCCCGACTGATAACCAAACAGAAAATGCAAATTTTAAGAAAACCCAAGAAATCACTTACACTGCAAGGTCATTCATGTTGTGAACAAATTCCCAAGAATAAAGGGGGAAAAACTCAGCAATCTCCACATCTTCCCTGCTGTGTGCCAGAGATGCCTCTGGCATCTTCACAGGAATTGACCAGGACCAGATTCTGGAGGAGAAGCAGTGTCAGAGCCACAGGGAACATTGCTGCTGCTTTGGCCTGAAGCTGCAATTCTGGCTGCAAACTGAGCCTGCAGAATCAAGCGGGTGTCTAAATGGATCTTCAGTTTCTGTGGCTTTTTGTTACCTGGATGGCCACTGGGACACACCACCGGCCTTTTCCACTGTCCTAGAGAAATACAGAGTCCATTCTGCCCTCCAGCCCTGTATCTGGGGTCTGGCTTCAAGGTCAAAAACAAAAGTTGGAAAATATGTGTAGCATCTCTTTCTCCACATCCTCAGGCCTCTGATTTCATCCAGGACTCTATATGTTCAAACTCCAAGGATGGATTCCTTTCCTGTAAAGTTGTTTGGAAAGTTGTGTGGGGAAAAGTTGAAAAGAAAAAGAAGTGGCAATATATGAAAGCCACTAAGGATGATTCATATGGATGGCCTCAGAGGATGCCAGGTGAAGGTCAAAAGGTCAAGGTATGCAATAGTGAGAAAGGCACAGTGGCAATTATTGGGGTCCAGTCAAAGACCTCCCCAACACAGAGAAGGGTTCTGCCAAGGAAAGCCTGGTCACTTCTGGGCTACTCTGACACCTGGGGAGAGATACAGAAATATTGTCCATGTCTAGCAAGCACAACATTCTGAGTTCAACACCTAGGACCACCAAAATAATATGGTTTAGATAAAGTACATCCCATCCATTCCACTTCTGGACACTTACCCAAATGACCACAGCCTTACTAAAGCTACCAGTACAACCATGTTTATTACAGCATTATTTGCCATAGCTAAGATATTGAACCAACCCAGATGCCCCTCAGTGGATGAACAGATAAAGAAGATGTGGTATACAGACACAATGGAATTCTATGCGTTAGTGCTTCATGCTCTCTCATTCTTGGCTTTCTTGTTCACTGCTGGCACTTTACCATTTGAGATATGCCCGCACCCCAACATTTTTGCTAGGGATGGGGTCTTAAGGGCTTTTCTGCCCAGGCTACTTTTGAACTTTGATCCTCAGATCACAGCCTACTAAGGAAGCCACTGTCATGTAACTGAAAAAAAATGGTGTGTATAATATTTTCATAAGAGTGTGAAAAGTTAATACATATTACTCATGATTTTAGTATGTTTAAAATAGTAACACATTTATGGAATGGAAATTAGACCTATAGAAATAGTGATGGAATACTACTGTATATTAAAAAATAAACAGAAAAATAAAGCAGTGGATGAAAGGACACACGACCTTTTGCTGGAGTAACTTAAAGATCCTTCCCCCAAAATATTGTGGGTGTTCATCTTTCTTCTCTTGTTCTTCTACTAATGTTTGGAGATCTTTAGAGACTTGGTCCAATACAATGCACCAGTTGGCTGGATGTGAGCTCTGGGCATTGATTTTTTTCCAAGGTCATATGACATTCAATGATGAGCCCATGCTTTCCCTCCTTCACCTGAGCTTCTCCAGGACAGGTGTGGGTTCCATGTTTGTATCCTCAGGGACAGAGGCTGGCACTGGCCAGCTCCTGGTCTGTGAGTCCTGAGGACAGATGCTGAGCTTTCAGTGGGCACCAGGCTTGAAAAAATCTTTGGTTCTTTACCCGTTGGTCATCACTAAAGACAGAAGCAGCTTAACCTAGTAAATACTGATGTATTGATGTGTGAAGGACTCTTGGGAATATCATCTCTTAATCATAAAGCCTAACACAATAGTTTTGGGAAGGTAGGACAGCTCTGTAAAAAACCTTTCACCACAGTTCATCAAGTTTTATAAACTCTTAGTGGTGTTAGGTTATCAGAATGAGTGAGCAGATTTTTTACTTTTTTCCTATACTAGTTTCATTTCCTATTGAGAGCTTCCAAAAACAACATTAAACTCTTCCCTTTAGACTGCAAAGAGATGGTCTCAATGATGTTTTAGATAAGAACCTCAGCCAATAAAACAAAATCGATGGCATTATTCAGACATTCCTATTTTTGCCCAGATATAACCTCTAAGTTATGTGTTGCTCGTTCATTCATATACTTTATCTTTCTGTACTCTAACATAAATACACCATTGCCACTTGAGGTTTGTTTTCCTTTTTTTTTCTGTGTGTGTACTGGTTCTGAGAGTTGAGCTCAGGCTCTGGGTGTTGTTCCTGAGCATTTGTGTGTGTGTGTGTGTGTGTGTGTGTGTGTGTGTGTGTGTGTCTGTGCAGGCACAGAAAGGTAGCACTCCACTACTTGAACCACAGATACATTTTTATCTTATGGAGGTTAATTGGAGTTAAAAGACTCATTACCTTTTCTGCTCCACAATGGCTTGTAACCCTGGTTCTTACATATAAGCTTACTGAGTAGCTAAGATTACAAGCCTGAGGCACTGGTGCTTGGCTAAGTGTAAGCTATTTTAATGTAACTTGTAAGTGTTTACACTAAAACTATTACAGATACATTTGTATTGGGCTCACTGCTTATGAACATGAGGCATGAGATCAGGATAATTGTGGTAGGTTGTCCCTTTGACAAGTAAACATCCATTTTGTTTCCTTGAGAATCCAAGAGCAGGTATCTTTTGCTGCTGGAGTGTGATGAATGTAAAATATATAAAATGGTAAGTTTAGACTTCCTAAAGGGCAAAAATATGATTGGATCTGAAGTTTTCTTGTTCTTACTTCTCTATTATGCAACTGATAATAATCTTTATAGTTTGATGCAGACATTTGACATGGTAGTCTAACATATATTTTGTTTTGTTATGATGGTGAGGTTCTCATTAAAGCTTTATTGGAGCGAAATCCTCAATCACCTTTTCCAACAATGCATACTTGTTCAACAATAGTAGTGATTACATAAGCACTGTCTTCTTTGATTCACTGTAATTGGGAATAGTTTGTGTGGCTTTCAGACATTTCTGCCTTTATGCAGATGCTTTTCTGCCCTCCAGGAATGGCCCAGCAGAATTAGAGACAGTGTTGTGTGTATCTCTGTCTTGCAAGTGTGGGTGAGCTCACTGCACTCAGCCACAGCTATAGTATTGAATGATGTCAAGATCTCTGGACTCAGAGACACGTGCTTGCTTGTCCTTTGACCTCCTCATGGCTGTAGAATATGGTGGTGACATGACAAGGTTCCTTGAAGCTCTTGAACATTTCTGATTTCTTCAGGGCCTCCTCTAAACTGTTGAATCATTACAGTTCTCATAGACTCTTAAAGAACATTGGCAGATAACTGAGTCTGGGCCTATCTAATGTTTTTGTCCTCTCTTTGGGGATCTTTTTCTCTTATGATAGATTATTCTGTTTCTCTGCTACCATTCAGGATGCTTAGGGTCTGTCATTCTAAAATTCTAAAGGAAGGATGAGAAAGACAGTGAGAGATTATCTACAGAAACACACAAAGTAATATGGCAAATGAGTAAATATGTCAAAAGAAACACAGAACTAGGACAGAAAATGTACTGGAGTTATAGCAATATAAGCATGCAAACTTTCACCAAGATAAATGTTCACAAATTAGTAGACTTACCAATATAGTGATACTCAAGCAGTGATATAGCTTATGTAGAAAGAGTCATTGAGACAGGAAAGGAAAAAGAAAAAGCAGAGTAGATAATGTATGTTAAAGAAGAAAGGTACATTGCATTGGAGGAAGCATAGAATATCTAGGATAAAATGCACATTTAGAAGGTCTTGGTGGAAACTTGATGTGACTCTAACATAACAGTGAAATGAGGAAGAGTAACTTTTTTGTCCAAAACTTCCTCAAATTATATTTTGACTGCCAAAATAGTATGATTGGTATCAGATCCTCTAATTCATTTAGGCAACACTTACATTCATGTTAAGGTTTATTTCTTACATATTGTGAGCTCTTCTGAAAAGAATTTCTCTCAGGCCTTATCAAGATAATATAGCACTTAGGGGCAAAGATGCAACATAAGAGGCCTGCACTGGAGGCCAAGATGGAGAAGATCTCTAGAGCTACCATGACCTTCCCCTTGGCACTGTGGTAGACAGGCAAGAAGGTGACCCACACACTGCAGAACACCAGCATGCTGAAGGTCAGAAACTTGGCTTCATTGAAGGTATCAGGCAGGTTCCTGGCCAGGAAAGCCATAATGAAGCTGGCCAGGGCCAGAGAGCCAAGGTATCCCAGGACACAATAGAAGGCGGTGAGGGAGCCCTTGTTGCACAGGATGATGATGTTGCCATGTTCAGAGAGTGTGTCTGTATCCACAAAGGGAGGAGAGGTTCCCAGCCACAGGCCACAGAGGGTCACCTGGATGAGGGTGCAGATGGGGATGATGAGATTAGGAGCCCAGAACACCAGCCACTGCCTGGTGCTTCTCCCTGGAGCAGTGAGCGTGAAGGCCAGAACCACTGTGATGGTTTTGGCCAGGACAGTGGAGACAGCCACGGTGAAGACCACTGCAAATGTGGTGTGCTGGAGGATGCAAGTGGCTGTGTGTGGACGACCAAGGAACAACAAGGAGCAGAGGAAGCAGCAGGTGAGGGAGATGAGCAGGATGTAGCTGAGGGCCCGGTTATTGGCTTTGACAATGGGGGTGTCTTGGTGCTTGATAAACACCCCAAGAACCGCAGCTGTGAGTGCAGAGAAGCAGAGAGCCGTGCAAGCCAAAGCCATGCCCAAGGGGTCTTCGTAAGCCAGGAAGCTTTCAGTTTTCATCAGGCAGTGGTTTCTTTCGGTATTGGCATACTGATGATCTGGACACTTCACACACTGCTCCATGTCTGGTGAGGGGTGAGAATCACTATTAGTCTTGGTTCAGTATTTCTCTTTCCTCTCATCCCCCTCCACTCAAGAAGCTCACCTGACCTGATTCATACTTTAATCTGTATTGCTTTCAGTATCAAATAGAATAATTTTCAATACAAAATAATTGAAGTTGAATTCTCTTACTTTCTTATATTTCTTCTTCCCATCCCTCCCTCCCTCTTCCTTCTTCCATCCTTTCTTCTTCCTTTCATCCTTTCTTTCTTTCTTCTTTCCCTCCTTCCTTTCTTCCTCCCTCCCTCCTTTTTCTCTCCTTCCCTTTTCCTTACCTTCCTCCCTTCCTTCATCCCTTCTTCCCTTGTTCCTTTCTTCCTTTCTCTTTTTATTCTTTCTTTCTTCCTTTCTCTCTTTCTTTTTTCTTTCTTCAGTCAAGTGTTTGACTCTAGACCTGGGCCATTTTTGGAGTATTTTTGTTCACGACTATGTTTCTACTACTTGAGCCACATCTCCTCATCTAGCTCTTTTGATGATTAACTTTCCTTCCCAGGATTGAATCTGTCCTTCGTTCTCAGATTTTAACCTCTTTAGTAGTTAGGATTACTGGTATGAGCTACATTCCCCTGGCATTATGTGCCTACATTATAGAGAGATTATATCACTCTGACGGTCTGCTATTTAGTCAAGAAATAATGGAAAGCATAGAATCAGCCCACTCAAGTCAGTTTTAACAGGACTGTCTACACCACACCACAACCTACTCCTTACAAAAAAACCCACAAACTTCCTGAGTATTTGTTCCATGAGAAGAACAATGACACTCAAGGGATAATGGGGGATCTGGGGAGGATGAGCTGGAGGAGGTAGAAGACAAATCAGATGCAGATAGTACTAGTTCTGTGTGAAGTATATTTGAGTTGTTGCTAGTCAAATTAGTGCCAGTGTCAGGTATGGAATAATCATACCAAGCTCCTGGTATTACTTAGGTATTACAAATGAAAAATAAAATTTAATTTAAAAGGAAGAGCAATGCTGGGCCCTCAGAAAGGAAAGGCTGTGTTAGACCCACAACTCCACTATAATATCCAATCTTTTTTTGTTCTGGTCGGTCGTGGAGCTTGAACTCGGCCTGGGTACTGTTCCTGAGCTCTTCAGCTCAAGGACAGTGCTCTACCACTTGAGCCACAGGGCCACTTCTGGTTTTCTGGTGGTTTATTGGAGATAAGAGTCTCAAGGACTTTCCTGCCTGCAATGGCTTTGAATTATAAACCTTAGATCTCATCCTATCGAGTAGCTAGGATTACAAGGGTGAGCCACCAGCTCCCAGCTTCCACCTCTTTTGGAGCATCAAGGCTTGGTACTTGATATTGTGTTTAAATCCAAGATAATGTGACTGAGGAGAGGGGTATTTTGTAATCAAAGCCTGTAATAGACTAGAAAATGAAATCGAATATGTAATCGCAGACCAGCGGATCCAGGTATTCCAAGGAGACTGATGGTCAATGGTAGTCATAGAACTCTAAGTGAAGGCACATGTCTGTTCCTGCCATGTTACTGTAGAGCTTTCTATTGTCATGCATGGACTGTAAGTAAGGAGAGGGAGATGAGGAATTTCTGTGTAAGTCACAGACTCACCTGTTCCATTAGACATCTCACTCGCTGGGCAAGAAGTACAGTCAAAGCAACATGGAGCCTTTCCTTCCCGAGGGGCCTTCCTGAATCCAGGGCCACAGCTCTCACTGCAGACAGACTGAGGAGTCTGAAGAAATTCAGATGAGTATTAATGACTATTCTTCCTGTAACCAGACATCCTAGACACTCCAGTGCTTTAAAAAAATCATTAGAAGGCATAATATCTGTATCCATATAGCCAATGAATCAATTGAATTGTCTTACACTTTCATATAAGATCACTCTAAGACTATGTTAGGGCTTGAACCTCAGCCCTTTGTGATATGTGATGTGATTGTTCCTGGAAAAGGTGGAGTTAATATGTAGGAAATTAGGAAACAGGAATAAATCCTGTATCACATTCTTGAATTCAGGTCATGATGTGTCTTCTCTCTTAGTCCTCTGAGAACATATGGAGAACAGAAGAGGAAAATCACTCAGTGAAACTTCAAAACCATTGTCTAAAGCATGGCAAATCCCTTTGAAAGGGGCTGGTGATACCAGGGACCATTCACATCTCTTTCTGTTTTCCCAGTTGCCACTGGCAGATGCAACTTCCTTTATGTTCTGTCTCACCACAGACTCAAAAGCAGCAGTCTACCAGACCATGGGCTGAAATCTGCAGGCAGGAGCAAAGCAAACCTTTCTGTTCTCTCATTTAATTTTCTCAGGTTTTTTTTACAATGTTAGAATGCTGATTAACAGGTGTCATTTCTCTTCCATGATAGAGAATATGCAATCATTTAATAACATATTGGTAATTAAATGTTCTCCTATTCCATCCCTGAGTCAATTAGTAAGCAAATTCCAGAAATAGAAAGTTGTGACATGTACACCATGGAGCCATAGGTTAGGGGAACAGCTTAAAATGGGAAGAGTTTATTGCTTATTTATACATAGATTATCACATTATGGTTACAAAAAATCAACTCTGTGGGAGAAACAAAGATGTGAGGACTTTGTCAAAAAAACATTGTACTCATAACCTGACTTAGGAAATTGTAAGCTCTTTCTACATCTACTTCATAATAATGTATTTCTTTAAAAACGAAAAGGAGAGAGTGAAAAACGTAGAAATGACCCACCTTGGTAATTCCTATGGGCCACTCTATCAGATTTTCAAATAAAATAAGTCGTTGACCATGTGGCCTAGATGGAGAAAACTTGCCAACTTTCACCCTTTGTCCCAGACCTTCTGGAAAATTCCAAAAGTTCACAATATCGTACTCTGCCTCCAATTTCCTTTCCTCATCCAAAACCACTTGTTCTCCAACTGTATTGGTAAATTGGATCTTCTTCAAAAAGGGATGCAGCTAAAAGACATTACCCTAGGTTGATGTGCTTCCCAGAGTGACCACAGTAACCCATTATAACAGACTGATTAGCTTTCATTCCCACCACACAATTCACACACAGCACAGGATTCCAATCAAGTGGAGCAAATGCAGACTTGTAGAGGACTGAAATGTCCCAAGATTCTAAACCTGGTAACCCAGTATAGGATGAAGAGACCCAAATTTAAAAGATTAAAACTCCAGCCACATCCACCTAATAATGAGATATAATCATACAAACCTCCACTGCCTCTCTCCAGAAAACCACAACCACTTATTTTATGAATGTGATCCGAGAGCCCATCTGAAAAATTAGGCTAAAAAACTAAATAGTCATAGAATATTTATGGCAACTATGAAAGCTTACCTTAAGCATGACTTAGTTTATGGCATGTATGTGTGCCTATCCTAGGTCTTAAAAACAGTACCTGGCACTCAACTTGAGGGTTTTATTTGTTTTTGTTTTCTTTCTCATGGCTAGCAAGCTTCTACTAGAGCCACAGCTCCACTTATACCTTTTTGGTGTTACCTGGAGATTAGTTTCTCATGAAAGTCTGTGCTTAGGTTGGCTTTGAATTGAAATCTTCAAATCCCAGCCCCTCAGTAGTCTGGAATCATTCCCATGTGTGAGATTTTTGTGCCCAGAAAATCTTAAGGTTTTCAAGTACTAGTCAACCTTGACCTTTTATTTTAATCAGTTACAAGGAAAATTTAGATTTGTACTATTGAAAAGGAAAAGCTTATACCACACAAAGTGAGGATGGGGAAAGAAGACACAGCATTTCCTAATCAAAGATGCAATGTTATTCAAGAATGTTGTCAAGCAGCTGTATGGTTACTTCATGGGGAGCATGATGGGCCCATTGCACCTTGTACTTTCCAAAAAGGAGCCAGACTACTTAAATCCATCCGCTATGAAAGGTTCTAGAAAGTAACTGTCCCTAGAGCACTCAAAAGATAAATCATTACCTGTGAAGAGAGAAATGCCTTTGGTTGCTTATTGTGGGCTGGAGGTTCTTCTGTGTGATGAAGAAGCATCATGTGCAGGGCATGGGCCACGGCATGCACGGCATTATAAATGTTGTAACTCTCTTCTGACACGGCCGTGTCAAAAATGTGCCTCAGCAACCAATCCAGTGTGGTATTATACAAACAGTGCCCCAATTTTGTACAGTCAGACTTAATCAGTATGCACTGAACAGCCTGAATCCATAAGCTAGGTTTGGAAATATCTTCTGAGTTCTTGGAATACTCAGCTGATGGGATCAAACTGGTGAACCCAGAAATATTCCCATGGTGGGGAGAAAAGATGAGAGGTGCATGAAAGGTGTCTAGCAGGAAATACCTTTTACTGAGGGTCACATCATCATAGGGTGAGTTCATGACCCAGACTTTCCCTGTAATTAAAAAATCCCCTAATTTAAGAATAAAGCTTAGTAGAAATTCACTGTCTCCATGAATGATAATCACATTGGTTGATGATTCTGTAATCTGGCCATGTATCAATGCATCATTTGCAAAATTTGGCATGGCATTGTATGTGATTGTGTTTGCAAAGGCAAAACAGACTCCATTCTTGCCCATCTCTTTTCTCAATTCTGAGAGGAACCACACACCATAGTCATCTTCGGTGATGAACAGTCCCACCCAGGACCAGCTAAAATGAAGTATCAAGGAGACCATGGCCAGGGCTAGAGCTGAGTCCTTGGCAGCCATCTGATAGACAGTACCAAACTGTCCATGGTCACTCAGGAGAGGATCAAAAGACCCAAAGGTGAACTAAAAAGGGAAAAAGGTAATAGGAAGAGAATGGTCAAAGTCAGAGGTTAAGTCCTGATATGAACTAAAAAACAGCTAGCCATGATGGGAGAGATTTGCTTATCCTATATGTAAAGTTATCTTTCACTTTCCAAGATTTTTGTAGAAATATATGGATCAGGCTCAGATCCTGGGGTCATTCTTTACTCTCTTATAAACTCTTTTTTTATCTCTTCCAATAAACCTAATATGGATGCACCATGCAATTTTGGGCCTCTTTTCCATTGAGGTCATCCAACAAGAGAGGTTCATAATATCACTTCTTCCCTTCACCTTCTTCAGCCTGTTGACATCAGGGACAAAGGGAACATGCCTTCCCATCTCCCCACCCCTCCCAAACTCACCTGTGGCAGTTTGTAGAGGTCTAGCAGAGTCCCAATTGGGACAGATGTGCTGGAGGTTCCTGTGAGTACTGCTACAGCTTTGCTGTCTCTCCTGCAGGTGTAATTAGGGCTGTTTTTATTTTGCCCAGACAGTAAGGTCAGTGGATTCTCTAACAGATCAGTTTCTACATAATGTGAAATATAGATCTCAAACCCCAGGGTCATGTTGGGTAGCAGATGGGGATTCTTGTTGATTTCCTCAACTGCAAGGGTCAGTGACAGAACCAATTGGTATTTCTTTAAGTTGAGCCTACACAGAAATTTGGATATATAAACGAGTATTACAAATTTGATCAGTTGAAATCTCAAGACTGCTAAATTGAATGCTTGTCACTACACAAATTAATTGTTTAGTACCTATCTGCAAAGAGCATGGGATAAGAATTTGAAGTCTTAAGAAGGTAATTAGGATTAGGACAGCTCCCAAAACAGGATTTGATCAGCATATACTAGAATTCTATTCTTCCAAGATTGCAGACAGTGAGTGAGCTGGTTTTCCTCTCTGTCAACTGGGTGTATATGAAAAGCAGTGATAAATAGGACACAGGGACTTGTCCAGCTTACAAAACAAGTCATTGAGTACCTTGAGATAGGTCTGTAGATGCAATAATTCTTAAGAAATCCAATTCCAGTTGTACCACCAGTGGGTCATGGGAGAGATTAGAAAGGAAATTCAAATGTTCATGATATTCAACAAAAATGAATATATAAATTACCAACTCCTCTTGGACATAGCAAAGGAAGTACTCAGAAGCAAGTTTATAGCTCTGAGTTCCTTCATCAACAAATTAGAGAAATCTGAAACAAACAATTTAACCAGGCACCTGAAGCTCCTTGAAAATGAGCAAGCTAAAAACAAATCATTAAAATTAAATCAGATTTACAGGAATTAGAATTTTTTAAAAACATAGAAAGAATCAACAAAACAAAGAGTTGGTTCTTCAAAAAAATTAACAAAATTGACAGATCCTGAGCAAATTTTATCAGAATAAGAAGAGTACAAGACAGGCATGATGTCTTGTGCCTATAACCCTAGCTACTAAGGAGGCTGAAATCTGAGGTTCACTGTTCAAAGCCAGCCCAGGCAAGAAATTTCATGAGACTCTTTCTTATCTCCAATAAACCACTAGAAAACCAGAAGTGGCACATTAGCTCAAGTGGTAGAATGCTCGCCTTCACCTGAGGAGCGCAGGGACAGTGCTCAAGCCCAGAGTTCAAGCCCCACAACCACCAACAACAAAAAAACAGCACACACCCAAATAAACTCAGAGATGAGAATGGAAACATCACCACAGAAACAACCAAGAATCAGAACATTATAAGGGAATACTTTTCAAAACTTTATGCTAATAAGCTTGAGATTCAGGAAGAAATGAATGGTTTTGTAGCAAATATACACATGTTGAAATTAACCAAGATAATTTCAACCAACATAAGAGACCAATATCAAGCATCAAAATAGAAACAGAAAGAAGAGACCTCCAATCCAAGAAAAGCCCAGGACTGGATAGCTGTACAGCTGGATTCTACAAGGCATTCAAAGCAGAACTCACACCAATACTCCTCCAACTCTTAAATGAAATCGAAAATGAAACTTCAAAGTTCACTCCCAAATCTTTCTATGAAGCCATCATAACCCTCATCCCCAAACCAGGCAGGGATTCATCAAAGAAAGCTAACTATAGGCCCATTTTTTGATGAATATTGATACAAAATTTCTCAACAAAAATTTGGCCAATTGAATTCAACAACTCAGCAAAAAATCATATGCTGCGATCAAACAGGATTCATTTCAGGGATGCAAAACTGGTACAATATATACAAATCAACTAATATAATTCATCACATCAACAAGAGCAAGAATAAGGGACACATGACTGCCTAAATAGATGCAGAAAAGCATTTGACAAGATCCAACACCCCTTTTGATGAAAGATTTGGAAAAACTAGAAATTCATGGAACATTCCTCAATATCACAAAGGCTGTGTATGACAAAACTACAACCAGCATTATGCTTAATGGTGAAAAACTAAATGCATTTCCTCTAATTCAGGAACAAGACAAGGATGTCCACTTTCTCCACTTCTCTTCAATTTAGTATTAGAATGTCTAGCTACAGTAATAAGACAAAATACAAACATAAAAGGGATCCAAATAGGGAAAGATGAGGTAAAACTCTCCCTCTTTGCAGATGACATGATTTTGTATTTAAAGATTCTCACAGACTACAATCCCAAATTACTCAAGCTGATTCATAACTTTGGCAAAATAGAAGGGTATAAAATTAGGCCTCAAAAAATCGATGGTTTTTCTGTATGCCAACAATGAGAAAAGCGTGCCTGAAATCAGGAAAGCAACTCCATTCGTAAGAGCCCAACAAAAAATAAAATATATAGGAATTAACTTAACCAAAGAAGTGAAGGACCTTTATGATGAAAACTTAAAAACCTGAAAAAAGAAATCAAAACAGAACTTAGAAAGAGGCAGACCTCTCATGCTCCTGGATTGGAAGGATCAACATCGTGAAAATGGCAATACTTCCCAAGGCTATCTACAAATTCAATGCAATACCTATCAATATTCCAACCTCATTCTTCAAGGAAATAGAAGAGGCAATCCAAAAATTCATATGGAACAATAAAAGACCCCAAATAGCAAAAAAGGATCCTTAACAGAAAGAACGGTGCTGGAGGAATATCAATACCAAATTTCAAACTCGACTACAAAGTTATAGTAATCAAAGCAGCTTGGTCCTGGCACAATAACAGACCACAGGACCAATGCAATATAATTGAAAACACAGAAATGAACCCACAGTCCTATAGTCATTTAATCTTCAATAAGGGAGCTAAAAAGTCGAATGGAAGAAAGACAGCCTCTTCAGTAAGTAGTGCAGGCAATAGTGGTTGAACACCTGTAGAAAACTAAAGTTAGATCCTTATATATCACCCTGTATCAGAATCAACTCCAAATGTACCAAAGACCTCGGAGTCAAAGCAGACACCCTGAAAACATTACAGAAAAGAATAGGAGAAACTCTAGGGCTCCTTGGCACAGGCTGAAATTTTCTTAATAGAGACCCAGAAACACAACAAATCTAAGAAATGTTAGACAAATGGGATTGCATGAAGCTTCAGAGCTGCATAGCAAAGGACATAGCTAACAATATCAATAGAAAGCCCATGGATTGGGAGAAGATCTTCACCAATCATACAACAGATAAGGTTCTCATATCTAAAATATAGTTTGAACTCAAAAAATGAAATTCCCCAAAAACAAATCCTCAGAGAAACAACTGTCTGATAAATAAGTGGGCTAAAGACTTAGAGAGAAACTTCTATGAAGAGGAAATAAGAATGGCCAATAGACATATGAAGAAATGCTCAACCTCTCTAGCGACAAAAGAAATGCAAATCAAAACAACACTGAGATTCCACCTCACCCCAGTTAAAATGGCTATAATCAAGAAATCTAATAACAATAGATGCTGTAGGAGATATGGCTAGTAGGGAACCCTACTGCATTGTTGGTGGGACTGTAAACTTGTTCAACCACTTTGAAAAGCAGTATGGAGGTTACCCAGATACCCCATTTTTGGGCATTTACCCAAATGATCACAAACAAGACCATACTAAAAGTACCAGCACAACTATGTTTATAACAGCATTATTTACCATAGCTAAGATATGGAACCAACCCTGATGCCTCTCAGTAGATGAATGGTTCAAGAAAATGTGATACACACACACACACACACACACACACACACACACACACACACACACAATGGAATTCTATGCTTCTATCAGAAAGAATGACATTGCACAATTTGTTAGGAAATGGGAATACTTGGAAAAAAATTATATTAAGTGAAGTAAGCCAGGCCCAAAGAAACATAGGTCTCATGGCTTCCCTTATTTCCAATAAATAGTACATGTGTAGTACAAGCAGAAAAGGTCAAAAGTTATGTACATATGACCATATAAGATGATGTTAAGTGAAATGAGCCCCAAGATAGGGACACAAGTGGTTTTATTTTCTTGCTATTGATTTTAAGGTAGTCATAAAGTACCCTATGATTTTTTGTTTCTTTGTATGTTCCTCCCACACGGTATAACCCCTCTTTTCATTGAATTCAATGTCGGTGCCTTGCATCTTTTATATACACTTCTCTAATTTGGGGAGGGGAAGGCACAAAACAAAATGCTTAAGTAGGGATACAGATTGAACTATTGTAACAATGAAATGTACAAGACACTGTGTTGAAAAACGAACTTTACAATTTAGACGGGTGGGAGGGTTGGGGGCAGGATCATAGTTGTTGTGTTGGGAGGGAAGGGATGGTAGGGGAAAAACAAAGGAGGAGGCAACAATGCTTGATAGAAAATGTACTCATTACCTTGCTCATGTAACTGTAACCCCTCAGTACAGTATTTTTACCATAAAAATGTATTAAAATAAAAGAACTTTTCTACATAAAAAAATCAATGGTTTTTCTGTATGCCAACAATGAGAAGAGCACAGCTGAAATCAGGAAAGCAACTCCTTTTGTAATAGCCCCACGAAAAATAAAATACCTAGGAATTAACTAAAGAAGTGAAGGACCTCTATGATGAAAATTTTAAACACCTGAAAAAGGAAATTAAAGCAGAATTTAGAACGTGGAAAAACCTCCCATGCTCCTGGATTGGGAGGACTAACATCGTGAAAATGGCAATACTTCCAATGGCTATCTACAATTTCAATGGCATACCTAACAATATTCCAATCTCATTCTTCAATGAAGCAGAAGAATCAATCCAAAAATTCATAGGGAACAATAAGGTACCCTGAATAGCTAAAACAATCCTTAGCAGAAAGAGCAGTGCTTGAGGAATAGTAATTCCAAATTTCAAACTCTACTACAAAGCCATATTAATCCAAGCAGCTTAGTACTAGCACAAGAACAGACCTGAGGACCAATGGAATAGAACTGAAGACCCAGAAATGAACCCACAGAGCTAGAGCCACCTAACCTTCGACAACGGAGCTAAAAATATAGAATGGAAATGCTTAGTCTGTAACAACAGTCACGGACCCTAAGTGAAGAGTTCCTACTTTTAGATGGATACTTCACTAACCTTCAGCTGCATTTGGTTACACTACAGGTTGGTATTACACTTGTAATCCAGTTTGGTAGCCATAGTTGTGACTAGAGCCAGGTGAAGCACACAGATCTTGCCATTGCTAGACAGAACATTGTAACATGGACTCCCCATGACCCCACTGGGAGCTATTCAAGGAGCACCCCACTCATTGGGGTCCTCTCTGAGGTTTTGAGAACCACAGAGTATTTGTCATTAAGCTTGCTTTGGGTTTTCTCTAGTACTGAGGCTAGTTATCGCCCCACCAACTGACTTCCAGCTGGTCCTGAGCTCCATCTAGCGGTGACATCCTGGAAGTGTCTACAGGCTCAGTAAAACCGAATCCTGCCTGGGATTTCTGGAAAGACAGGCACAAAGCCAAATAAGGCAGACTCGTGTAATCACGAGACATTTACAAGGCCAGATCACTTGCCAATATGAATCGAGAATGTTCCAGAACTATGACCTCTCCTAGGACTCAATGATTCAGGAGCTGACCACAATGTCATCAGTTTGGGGAAATTCTCATAGAGAGAATTTAACCTCTCATGGTCCTTTAGAATCCTTGTTAATTTCTTTTTAGACAATGTAACTCTGGGGATGATTATAATCAAAAAAGTAATTATGAATCAGCACTGGTGGCTCATTCCTGCAATTGTGGCTACTAAGAAGTCTGAGATGTGAGGATAAGGTTTTCTAGGGGGTTTGGGCACTAAAGTCTGTGAGACTCTAATTAACCATACAAAAGCTGGAAGCAGAACTCTGGATTCAGTGGTAGAGTGCTACCCTTGAGAGAAAAAATGCTAAGGGAGCGCTCAGGACATGATTTCAAGCCAGTGTACCAGCTTGTGAAAATGTGTGTGTGTCTGTGCCCCTGTACATACACACACACACACACACACACACACACACACACACACACACACCTCAATTAGTGAATGGGAAAAACAGAAGATATCTCTGAAATCTCCCATCTCCCAGAAGTATATATTTTGAATACCATGTTTGGGCATTAGACTAATCTCTCTTACTTATTTCCACACCACATTTAAGTCAGCCCTAAAATCCATGGGAAGACTTTCCTGGAATAAAGCATTCCTCTCCTGAGCCAGTCCCATACCTCATGTTTCAACACAATGTGTGTGACACCCCTGGCTTACAGGGAATTCTGTAGATCTGCAAGGACTGAGCACAGATTCATCTGGAACAAACACATGAACCAAAGTATCTATAGTGTCTAGTTTGGGAAGGTATGAGAATGGAAAAAAAATAGGTAAGCCGGAAAAATTGGTAAGCCTGAAAAGATGGTGGAGAACAAGTAACAAAGGAAGAGAAAGCTCTGGGAATGATGTAGGAGACAGGCTGAGACCTGGACAGGAGTACTGGGGCTCTGATTCCTCAGGGGGCCAGCTCTGCCACCAAATGTGGGCAATTACACCAGGAAATGCTTGTCACCCTGACCCTGAAATAGTGTTTCAGCAGTCGGTGCTGCCAGGAACATTTTTTTCCTCTGTGGGGAGAACTAAGACACTGCAAGGATTTCTAGAAATTCTTTCTTTGTTCTTTCCTAATTAGAACCTTTGCTGCAAACCCGATGTGAATAATATAAAAACAATCATAGACTATGCAGGTAAACATTAGTGAAAGGGAAAATCACATTGGCTAAGGGGAAGAAAAATCTTTGACAGATCTCTTAACCCTGATAGGACTGGCAGCTGAAATAAGAACAGGCTTTATTAAAGCGGAAACTGCATGTCTGTTCTAAGAAATGTTTCCTGAAAGAAGGTAATAATATTGGTCCTAGTTTTAAAAATATAAAGAATAGAATTTATTGAAGATGACTATGGCCTTTGACCTATGGATGGAGACATGGTGCTGGATTGTCTTAGTACTGAATCTGAGTCATGCCTTGACCCTGAGGCAGGGCAGCTAAGGCCAGCAGAGGCACAGTAATGGGGTGTTTGGGACAGCCCTGGGAAGGGGGAGTGGAATGAAAGACCAACAGTATCTTCTCTACCCTCTGGGAGGAAGAAAAATACTCATCAGGAGAACCTGAAATACAGGAGAGCTGCTGTGGTGATGGCAGTGCACAAGATCCAGAGAAGAATCAATGCATCCAACCTCCTCCCCATCCTCATTGATAACCCAACAAAAAAAGCAAATATAAATAAGCATGAAATCACTTACCGATGGCCCTGTTGCCGCATACCAGGGTCATTCATGTTGCGAATGAATTCCCAAGAATAAAGGGGGAAAAACCCAGCAATCACCACATCTCCCTTACTGTGTGCCACAGATTTCTCTGTTGAAAAGCATCTGGCATCTTCAGAGGAACTGACCACAAGCAGAAGCTGGAGGAGAAGCAATGTCAGAGCCACAAGGATCATTCTGGCACCCTGTGCAGAGCTGTGATTCCATCTGTAGACTGTGCCTGCAGCGTCAGGTAGGCATCTAAATGGATCTTCAGTTTCTGTGGCTTCTTGTTATCTGGATGACTACTGGGACTCACCATCAGTTTCTTCCACTGTCCTAGAGGAATTCAGAGCCCACTCTGCCCTCCAGCCCTGCATCTGGGTTCTGGCTTCAAGGTCAATAACAAAAGTTGGAAAACATGTGTAGGATCTTTTTCTCCACACCCCAGGGATGTGATTTCATCCAGGACTCTAGATATTAAAACGTCAGAGATGGATTCCCTTCCTGTAAAGTTGTTTGGAAAGTTATATGAGAAAAAAAGCTGAAAAGAAAAAGAAGCGGCAAAAAAACATATACTCAGGTGAAAGCCACTGGGATGATGCATATGAATGGCACCAGAGGATGCCAGGTGAAGGTGAAAATATCAAAGTAGGCCATGATCAGAAAAGGCTCAGTGACAATTATTGGGGCACAGCAAAGACCTCCCCAACACAGAGCACAGTTCTGCCAAGGAGAGCCTGGTCACCGCTGGGCTACTCTTATGCCTGGGGAGAGATATAAAAATATTGTCCTTGCCTAGCAAGCACAGCATTCTGAGTTCAACATCTAGGACCATCAAAATATTGTTTGTATAAAGCACTGCCCATACATTCCACTCCTGGGCACTTACCCAAATGACCACAAACAAGGCCGTACTAAAGCTACCAGTACAATCATGTTTTTTTTTTTTAACAGCAGTATTTACCATAGCTAAGATGTGGAACCAACCCAGATGGCCCTCAGTAGATGACTGCATGAAGAAAATGTGGTATATATACATAATGGAGTTCTATGCTTTAGAAAAGTGTGTGTGTTTCCTTTTGGCCATATCCCCTCCATCATTTGTTGTTACTAGATTTCTTGATTATAGCCATTCTAACTGAGGTAGAATGAATCTCAATGTTGTTTTGATTTGCATTTCTTTTCTGGCTAGAGAAGTTGAACATTTCCTCATGTGTCTATTGGCCATTGTTATTTCCTCTTCAGAGAAGTCTCTCTTTAAGTCATTAGCCCACTGATTTATCGAGCAGTTGTTTCTTAGAGGATTTCTTGTTGGGGAATTTAATTTTTTGAGTTCCAAGTATATTTTACATATGAGGCCCTTGTCCATTGTATAGATAGTTTAAATCTTCTCCCAGTCTATGTGGCTTTCTTTGATCTTGCTAGATATCCTTTGCCATGCAGAAGCTGTGCAGTTTCATGCAATCCGACTTGTCCAAGCTTTCTTTGATTTGTTGTGTTTCTGGATCTCTATTAAGAAAATTTCGGCATGTGCTAAGGAGATCTAGAGTTTCTCCCATTCCTTCCTGTAATGTTTTCTGAGTATCTGTGTTTATTTTCAGGTCTTTGATCCATTTGGAGTTGATTCTGGTGCAGGGTGATATATATGGATCTAACTCTACTGAATTGTTGATGCGAGTGTAAACTTGTTCAACCACATTGGAAAGCAGTACGGAGGTTCCTCAAAAGACTCCACATAGCCCTTCTCTATAATGCAGCAATCTCACTTTTGGGCATTTACCCGAATAATCACAAACAAGGTCATGTCAAAGCTACCAGCACAACCATGTTTATCACAGCATTATTCACCATAGGTAAGATATAGAACCAACCCAGATGCTCTCATTAGATGAATGGTTCAAGAAAATGTGATATGAGTTCCGGGAAGATGGCGGAGGAGAAGTTGGAATCTGAACAAGCTCTCGCATAGAAAGCAGTTTTAGAGTTCCAGTGAACAGTCCTAAGCCAGAGAATCACACCAAGTGTGCCATCACAGGACAGAGTTAGACAAGAGAGGCGAAGCCAAGGCAAAAAGACACATCTGAGCGCTCGCCAGCAGCCGCCGAGGCAGTAGCGGCGGCAGGGTTGTGGCGGAGAACACAGCCAGGGCCATAACTGAGCGCTCACACAGAGAGTCCGGGACGAAGGAGCCAGACACAGCGGGCGAGCGGATCCTACTCGACACCAGCAAGAACCAACAAGGAGCAGACATCTTCATCCTGCAGCTTGCAGACCAGAGACAACCCAGGATCCAAGACTCGGCGTGAATAGAAGCCCGACATCCTCACTCCTTCTCAGGGAGCAGAGGAGGGAAGGCTACCCCTCCCCCCCCAGCACCGGTGATCTCCATCTTGGATACTGACAAAGCTCGGAGGAGCTGCCAGCTCCAACCCAGGCCTTGGAATAAAACAAGTCATTTAGCAGGTCACAAGAACTTAACGGCGAAGTGACCTGCCAGACTCGGCTCCATCCAGGGAAAAGTCACCCAGCTCAGGCGCCAGCCATTGGAGTGGCTTTCC